ATCCATCGGATCCATTTTTTTATATAACTAAAATCCATCGGATCCATTGAATCCATCGGATCCATTTTTTTATATAACTAAAATCCATCGGATCCATTGAATCCATCGGATCCATTTTTTTATATAACTAAAATCCATCAGATCCATCGGATCCATTGAATCCATCGGATCCATTTTTTTTATATAACTAAAATCCATTGGATCCATCGGATCCATTTTTTTATATAACTAAAATCCATCGGATCCATTGGATCCATCAGATCCATTTTTTTTTTATATAACTAAAATCCATTGGATCCATCGGATCCATCAGATCCATTGGATCCATCAGATCCGTTGGATCCATTTTTTTTATATAACTAAAATCCATCGGATCCATCAGATCCATTGGATCCATCGGATCCATTTTTTTTTATATAACTAAAATCCATTGGATCCATCGGATCCATCAGATCCATTTTTTTTTTATATAACTAAAATCTATTGGATCCATTGGATCCATCAGATCCATTTTTTTTATATAACTAAAATCTATCGGATCCATCGGATCCATTTTTTTTTATATAACTAAAATCCATCGGATCCATCAGATCCATTTTTTTTTATATAACTAGGATCCATTGGATCCATCGGATCCATTTTTTTTTTATATAACTAAAATCCATTGGATCCATCAGATCCATTTTTTTTATATAACTAAAATCCATTGGATCCATTTTTTTTTTTTATAACTAAATACAGTGTTTTGGGATTTGAACCCACAAACCAAGTAGTACTGTGGACGATCAGTAAGGTGGTCTGTAAAACATTGGCACAACTGCTTGTTCCCCATGCAATAAATTTTTAACTAGTTTTTGGGATTGGGATTTATTCAAATTTGAGGTGATTTTGAACATATCAATAATTGGTATGTTACTCATGATATGAGTAAAATATTGTTCGTGTATACATTGTTCTAGTTTCTATAGCTTTTTATTTGTCTTATCAGTTGAAATATATGTTGTGATTGTTTACGAAATATATTGAATTATTTCTGAATTGTTCGTTCATTTTATGCATGACGAAACCCGAAATTTATAGTTTAATGGTCACAACAAATTTGAGCATAAAAATGTTAAAATTGTACACCAAAACACTAAAGTATCAAATAATATTTGAAATCACTGCAACACGACTAGTTTTAAATATGTTTCAATTGAATTTCATACATGGAGTATTTCAAAAGTTCTGATCGATTATCTGTTTCAAAACATTTGAAATCATGCATGTATGAAATTCAGTTCAAGCATATTTAAAACTAGTCGTGTTGCAGTGATTTCAAATATTATTTGATACTTTAGTGTTTTGGTGTACAATTTTAACATTTTTATGCTCAAATTTGTTGTGAACATTAAACTATAAATTTCGGGTTTCGTCATGCATAAAATGAACGAACAATTCAGAAATAATTCAATATATTTCGTAAACAATCAACATATATTTCAACTGGTAAGACAAATAAAAAGCTATAGAAACTAGAACAATGTATACACGAACAATATTTTACTCATAGCATGAGTAACATACCAATATATGTTCAAAATCACCTCAAATTTGAATAAACCCATCCCAAAAACTAGTTAAAAATGTATTGCATAGGGAACAAGCAGTTGTGCCAATGTTTAGAGACCTTACTGAAGAAACTAACATGTGCAATATAAATCTGTATTTCTAGACCATTATTACTTGTTGAAATAGAAAATCTCAAGACTTTGTTTTTTCATAAAAGTTACACAACTGCTGGCAACAATGACGTTTAGAGAGTCTGGTATTTTAAACGACGAAAAACGACATATGCATTAACCCCGAATTTTATTTCATTAAAGTCTTTTAGTATACTCAATTCAGCCATTCTGTTCCAATTTATCTCCAGAGAGTAGACGGACTGTCATATTGAATGCATATTACAAACATGGAATGGGAAATTATTGGGTTTTTAGGCTAACTTACTTAGTCAACCCTGTCAAAAGCCATGATTTTAGTAGTGTTTTTGACGAAAATATTTACTTAGTACTAATCAAACTTCTAATCTTCATGGTAGTATCCATATTGTCACAAAAGATGCTCAAACCAGGTGAGGGGCAAAATAATATATACTTTGGTTAAACTGAGATCTCGATTTAGTTCAATTTCAGCACATATAAATGCCGGGAAATTCCGTCACCACGTTTGGGGTTTACCGTAAAATTGTGGCAAAAATAATCTTTTCGCTTTTGCTTAAAAGGTGAGTATTATGTTCTGAATTATTACGATCAAAACCTTATCTAACTGATTTTAGATTTCGAATTTGAATTATGATTAATATTATTAAACTTTTGACTTTAAATATGCTTCAAATACTCTTTTTGAATTCTCATGTAATTGAGTATTCTGAGAAAAATCATTTTATGAAATAAAATTTGAGCCAGAATGAGTTTCAATTTATATCAATTGTTATTAAACTTTTATTCGAACTTTAAATTGTCTTGTAATTGAGTATATACAAAGATAAATCATTTTATGAAATAAAGTTTAGGGCTAACATACTCTTCGGACATCATTGTTGCCAAACCGTTCAGATACTATTTTTCAAAAAGTAACAATTGCCCAAAAATAGATCTTAATTGCAAATTTTCCAACCCAATCTTCCACAGTACTATTCAGCCCCGACCACGGACACTGCTTTTTTTATTATTTTCCCCGAAGTTAAAGGCCTGCGAAAAAAACTTCGTGCACACGCTCTATTTATACATATTAGTTATACCTTTAAAATGTGGCTACCGATTGTACACAACCCTAGCATAGCAACTTATTAACATAATGTACGTTTAATTTTGAACGAAATGCTGAATGCAAACTTCCGACGACGCTATTATGACCGTACGTCGCTGAGCTTGGCTTGCTCTACAGAGTGTTTTCATGGCGACCATGTTAGGAACAAATCTGGATCGAAATTAATACATATTTCTTTGTTTAAAAAGCGAGTTTGCTCCTTAACAAACCAACATAAAAACACTCTAACCCTGGCGGTCTTTTCATTAAAAATAAGGCCGTATTTACACTTAGTTCATATTTGTGCGGATATTTATTGTTCTCAATAGGGTTTTATTTGGGTAAGAATCTAAAAGCAAGGGGAGGGATTTGATATCTCCACAGGGAAAAGCGGGGTTGATGAATAGAATTGAATGCCTAATCAAATAATGCGAAAGCCCTGTTTGTTTTTATTACAACCATGGTAATTAAAACTCATTTAAAGAACAGTACATATCATAAAGTGAATTTCATTGTGGGTCAATCCTTACAAATATGAACTAAGTTAGTTAGATACCTCAAACGTCGGCTCTTAGTCAGATAAAGAGCCGACGTTTGAGGTATCTAACTCTTACTTAATGCGCTTGTAAATGTCGTAACAACTTGAATCTAAAGGCATTTGCCAGAAACGCACAACCCAGATTCAAATTGCAAAATTGTCAATTTTTTGTTTTCGCAATTTTGTGGATTATTATAAACAAAGTATTTTACGTTTCATGCGAGTGTATATTGCACAGTTTGGACGCTTCTAAACTGTCTAACTCCCTAACTATTTTGCGCACGCGACGGACCATATTATCCGCATGCAACCGCCCTGAAAAGGAATATCCCTGAAGGTATTGAGCCGCAATGACCGCCATAAGAGAGGGGACCTAGTCACTGGTAGCGGACTGTTTTTTCATGAAGTAAGACCGGCTACCAGGAAAAATACATGCTTTACCTTACTACGGGAGAGAAAATGTTTAAAAAAACTTTGCCGCCATAATTGTCTTATTCTCGCCGATCCAAACGACCAACATGATTTCCACCAAGTCTTCTTACGGGTACCATTTGCACCCTCTAAGCTATGGGTACCATTTGTACCCCCTAACCCCAAGACCAACGATGCCAGTTTTTTTTTAAAGGTTTAGATGAGGGAAGTGACAAATTCTTTTTTACTAACAAAGCGACAAGATATTACAAAGAATCAAACATCAATTTACAATCGTCGTTGTATTTCGAAAGACAAAACTCTGGCAAAGCTTTTCTTGCACACATCCTGCCTCATGCCTCATGACCCTGTCTAAATTATTGTGTTGCTGCGCTTGTAATGCGTATGCACCAAGGCAGTATATTTACACAGAGGGAAACCAACACTCAAATGTTCCCTCTTTTTTTTCAGATCGGTTTTCAAATTCAGAAGCTGACGAATTTCGAAAGTACAGTTTTTGCAAAGAAAATCATCGTTATAAACTTTCGTTGAAGCTATCAAAGTCTACTGAACAGAAAATAGATCGAATGTGTAAATATACTGAACATTTAGACCGCCAGGATTTATGCCGGATTTCATTGTACCCAGAACAACAAAACAAACAATGGACGGCCTGGATACAAGTATCTACAGCCTGTTCGCAGGCAAACAAGAAAGAACAGTACCTGAAAGTAGACATTTCTGTGACCTTTGTATGTCCATTAACTGTATGTCCATTACGGGGCCATATTTATCCATCATAGTTTCTTTGTATCCATTTATTATAGTCACAAATATCCACTGCTGACCATGGACATTTGATCAATCCTTTCATTTCATCCGAGGCATCCAATTTCATCATCGTCTTTGTTGTTTGGTACATTTTCTTTAAATTCATAGCTTCGTGATCATAATTACTGTCTTTGGTGTATTGTTGTAATTTGATTAGAAATAGATGTATTTCCTCCTGTATTGCTCGTCGAGGCATGTCATCTTGGTAACATGATATTTTATAAATCAATATTTCATCAGCATGTTCAGTAATGATCTGTAAACAAAGAAAACAAAACAATAATTCATTCAGATATAAAACTTAAACCATTTTGCTACAAAAAACAAATTAAACCGTTAGGTTGTACTGTGCCCAGTATTGTACTGTCCAACGCCAGCCAAATTTTATGCTTCATAATGAGACTGCCCATGTGTCTAGTTACCCATTAACTGCCAGTGCGCCCCTGCTTAATAAAATTGTCTGACGTTAGACAGAGTTAAATAATATAAGTACAGTAGGTAAATAGGCCTTTTTTCACGGTTTTGGACGACATTTTGTCGGGTAGGCAAAAATTTACAGGCGCGGTCACCAAGCCTAATATATTTCACTATTGTTCTGCTACATCCGGAGTGTATTGTCTTGCGATATCACAAAAGATTACATTTTAAAGTTGTTTTGATGTGGTAAAAGTACAATGAGGTGAAAGGTTAAGTTTTTTTTCTACATTTTATGTAACTCTCGTCGGTGTTGCTCGTACATTTTGCCAGATACATACAATTTTGTTGTAGTTATACCTTGCGCCATGCATTTATACTATATTTATATCACCATTGTTTAATACACACAAAAACCACGTTTTATCACGAAACTACTGTTCTGTATAAAACTTATTATAGTATCGTGAATTCTCATGTATAAATAGTTTAAACTTTTATTATTTTCATGATGTTTGCAACGTTTTATATATTAAAACAATAAAAGGTATTCTATAGTGATCAATATACTATATATTATATTATAATTTTTTCTACTCCAAATTAGAAAATATATATTTGTGAGTCTATTTGTCAGTGGCATTGATTCTTTATTGTTTGTAAATAGTTGCTTAACATAAGGGGCCATTCACAAAGGATGTCCGGCCAAATGAAATTATGGATTTTCAGACCCCTCCCCCCTTGTCCGGCATTCTCCCAATTAGTGAACCCCCTGGCCCAGGGCCGCTGGGAGGAGGGCAAATTGTCCCGGGGCCCCACCTTAATAGGGCCCCAACTTGAGAGCGACAGCCTAAAATTGAACAGGTTCTTTAAATTGGTCAGAGCATTTTGAAATTGAGGGCCCCTCCACATTGCAGTCTAGCTAAGGTCTAGCTTAAAAATAATGATGTCATGGGGACCCCGGGGAAGATTTGGCCGGGCCCCACAAATTCTCTTGGCAGCCCTTCCCCGGACGTCCACCATGTCTCGCAAAAACTCACAAAACCTTGTATATGTCAAATACACTGTTGAATTCATCACTGAAGGAAAGAATTAGATAATATTATGAAGTGTTAAAAATGCCAATTTCACAATGGGAAGGAGAGTTTAAGAAATTTGTTTTTGATTTTTTTAAAATTCTGACATCTAGCTTGCTAAAAAAACCTCCCCCCTATGTCGAGTTTGTCTTGATTTTCC